TAACCCAGTCTATTCCTATTCATCTATCTATCCATCCTATCTAACCCAGTCTATTCCATTCATCTATCTATCTAACCCAGTCTATTCCCATCATCATCATTCATCTATCTATCTATCTAACCCAGTCTATTCCATCTATCTATCTATCTAACCCAGTCTATTCCATCATTCATTCATCTATCTAACCCAGTCTATTCCATTCATCTATCTATCTATCTATTATCTCCTATCCCAGTCTATTCCATGTATCCATTATCTATTTATCTATCTATCCCAGTCTATTCCATGTCATTCATCTATCTATCCATCTCCTACCCATCTATCCATGTTCATCCATCTATCCATCCCAGTCCCAGTCTATTCCATCCATCATCCATCTATCTATCATCTATCTATTCCATTTTATCTATCTAACCCAGTCCATTCCCATTCATCTATCTATCCATCTATTCATCTATCTATCTAGTCCATCTATTCATATCATCTATCTATGTTCATCTATCTTTCTATCTATCTAATCCAGTCTATTCCATATTCATCTATCTATTATCTATCTAACCCAGTCTATTCCATATTCATCTTATCTATCTATCTAACCCAGTCTATTCCATCTATCTATCTATCCAACCCAGTCTATTCCATGTTCATCCATCTATCTAACCCAGTCTATTCCATATTCATCTATCCATCTATCTATCTAACCCAGTCTATTCCATCATCTATCTTCCATCCATCTAATCCAGTCTATTCCATGTTCATCTTTATTTATCTATCCATCCAGTCTATTCCATCATCTATCTTTCCATTCCTATTCCTATCCATCTATTCCATCTATCATCTATTCCCCAGTCTATTCTATTCCATGTATCAACTCCCAGTCTTTTCATCCATTCATCTATCTAACCCAGTCTATTCATGTCTATCCATCTTTCTATCCATCCATCTATCTATTCCATGTATCTAACCCAGTCTATTTCCCTATCATCTATTCCATCCATTCATCTATTCATCTATCTAACCCAGTCTATTCCATATTATCTCATCTATTATCCATCTATCCATCTATCCATCTATCTAATCCAGTCTATTCCATCTATTCCATCTATTCATCTATCATCTCATCTAATCCAGTCTATTCCATCCCATCCATCTATCTATTCATCTCCCCAACCCAGTCTATTCCATATTCATCTATCCATCCATCCTATCCAGTCTATTCCATGTTCATCTTTCTTTCTATCTAACCCAGTCTATTCCATATTCATCATCTATCTACCCAGTCTATTCCATATTATCTATCTTTTTATCTATCCTATCCAGTCTATTCCATGTTCCTATCCATTTATTATAATCCAGTCTATTCCATGTTGTTATTTATCTTTCTATCTAATCCAGTCTATTCCATGTTCATTTATCTATCTATCCCAGTCTATTCCATATCCATCTATCCTATCTAATCCAGTCTATTCCATATTCATCTATTATCTTTTCATCTATCTATCCATCTATTCCACCCAGTCTATTCCTTTCTCATCTACCTAACCCATTCTATTTCATTCTTTCTATTATCCATGTATCCATCTATTCCATCTATCTATCTATCTATCTAACCCAGTCTATTCCTCCCATCTATCCAGTCTATTCCATCTGTCCAGTTTCCTTTTCATCTATCCATCTATCTATTCCCAGTCTCATTCCATTCATCTATCTATCTAATCCAGTCTATTCCATATTCATCTATCTATATACCCAGTCTATTCCATATATCATCTATCTATCTAACCCAGTCTATTCCATGTTCATCTTTCCTTTCTCTATCTAACCCAGTCTATTCCATGTTCTATCCATCTTTTCTATCTATCCAGTCTATTCCATATTCCTATCTATCTATCTCCCTACCCAGTCTATTCCATGTATCATCTTCATCTTTTCCATCCTATTCCAGTCTATTCCATATTCATCTATCTATTTCCATCTATCCAGTCCATTCCATGTTATCCATCTATCTTAACCCAGTCTATTCCTATTCATCTATTCCTTATATCCATCTATTCCATGTATCACTTCATCCTTTAACCCAGTCTGTACCCATCTATATTCCATCTTCTATCTATTCATCTATCTATCTAACCCAGTCTATTCCAATTATCTATTCTATCTATCTTATCTATCTAATCCAGTCTATTCCATATTCATATCTATCCTATCTATCTATCCATCTATTCCATGTTCACTTTCCTTTTTCCCATCCATCTATCCATCTATTCATCCATCCATTTTATCTAACCCAGTCTATTCCATGTATCTATCCATCTATCCATCTATCTAACCCAGTCTATTCCTATTCATCTATCTATCTATCTATCTAACCCAGTCTATTCCATCTATTCATCTATCTATCTATCCATTCATGTATCCATCTAATCCATGTTCTATTCCTTTCATTCATCTATCTATCTATCTATCCATCTAACCCAGTCTATTCCCATTCATCTATCTAACCCAGTCTATTCCCATATTCATCTATCCTATCTATCTAACCCAGTCTATTCCATATTCATCTATCTATCTATCTATCCATCTATTCCATTCATCTTAACCCAGTTTATTCCTATCCAGTCTATTCCATGTTCTTTCTATCTATCTAACCCAGTCTATTCCATGTCATCTATCTATCTATCTATCTAACCCAGTCTATTCCCATCTATCTATCTATCTATCTATCTATCTAACCCAGTCTATTCCATTCATCTATCTATTCATTCATCTATCTAACCCAGTCTATTCCTATCCATCTATCAACCCAGTCTATCCATGTCATCTATCTATCTATCTATCTATCCCAGTCTATTCCTATTCATCTATCTATCTATCTATCCCAGTCTATTCCCATCTATCTATTCTATCTATCTATCTATCTAATTCCAGTCTATTCCCATCCATCTATCTAATCCAGTCTATTCCATCATCATCTAATCCAGTCTATTCCATCATCTGTATCTATCTATCCATTTATCTATCTAATCCAGTCTATTCCATATTCATTCATCCATTCCTTGTCTCCCAGTCTATTCCATCTATCTTTCCCTTTCATCTAACCCAGTCTATTCCATGTTATCCATCTATCTAACCCAGTCTATTCCATGTTATCTCATCTCCTTATCTATCTAACCCAGTCTATCCCATGTTATCTATCTATCTATCTAACCCAGTCTATATCATCATCTATCTTTTCATCTATCATCTAATCCAGTCTATTCCATGTTCATCTATCTATCTATCTAATCCAGTCTATTCCATGTTCATCTATCTATCTATCTATCTCCAGTCTACCCATCTATTCCATGTTCATCTATTCATCTATCCAGTCTATTCCATATTCATTCTATTTATCTATCTATCTATCTAATCCATGTTCCCATTCATCTATCTATCTAACCCAGTCTATTCCATGTTCATCTATCTATCCTTTCTCCTACCCAGTCTATTCCATGTTATTCATCTATCCATCTATCTAACCCAGTCTATTCCCATGTTCATTTCCTTTCCATCTATCCATCTATCCATGTTCATCTATCTATCTATCTAATCCAGTCTATTCCATGTCATTCATCTATTCATTTATCTCCTAATCCAGTCTATTCCATGTTCATCTATCTTTCTATCTATCTAACCCAGTCTATTCCATTCATTCATCTATCTATCTATCTATCATCTATTCCAGTCTATTCCTATCTTTCATCTATCCCCAGTCTATTCCTATTCATCTATCATCTATCCAACCCAGTTTATTCTATTCATTATCTATCTATTCATCTATCATCTATCTAACCCAGTCTATTCCTATATTCATCTATCTAACCCCTACCCAGTCTATTCCATGTCATCCATCTTTTCATCTAACCCAGTCTATTCCATCTATCTATCTATCTATTCATCTATCTATCTATTCCATCTAACCCAGTCTATTCCATATATCATCTATCTAATTCCATGTATCTAATCCTTTCTATTTCCTATCCATCTATCTAGTCCATTCCATGTTCATCTATCCTATCCATCTATCCATCTATCATATCTATCTCCTTATCATCTAACCCAGTCTATTCCATATTCATCTATCTATCTAACCCAGTCTATTCCTATATATCTATCTATCTCTCCTATCTAACCCAGTCTATATTTCAACCCAGTCTATGTATCATCTATTATGTATTCATCTATCTATCTATCCATCTATCTAACCCAGTCTATTTCATCCATCTATCTATCTACCCAGTCTATTCCATGTTCATCTATCTTATCTATCTAACCCAGTCTATTCCATGTTCATTCATCTATCTTCTAACCTAGTCTATTCCTATTCATTCATCTCATTCATCTATCCATTATCTATCTAACCCAGTCTATTCCATATTCATCTATCTATCTATCTATCTAATTCAGTCTATTCCTATCTATCTATCTATCTATCTAATCCAGTCTATTCCATTCATCTATCTATCTTTTATCTATCTATCCAGTCTATCCATGTTCATTTTCATCTTTTCATCTATGTACCCAGTCCATTCCTATTCCTGTATTCATCCTATCTATCTAACCCAGTCTATTCTATTCATCTATCTATCTATCCCATCTATCTATCTATCTAACCCAGTCTATTCCCTCATCTATTCATCTATTCATCTATCTATCTAATCCAGTCTATTCCTATCTATCTATCTATCTAATCCAGTCTATTCCTTCCCATTCATCTATCTATCTATCTCATCTAACCCAGTCTATTCCCATCTCATCTATCTAACCCAGTCTATTCCTATCTATCTATCTATCTATCTATCTATCTATCTAACCCAGTCTATTCCTATTCATCTATCTAACCCAGTCTATTCCCATTATCTATCTATCTATCTATCTAACCCAGTCTATTCCTATTCATCTATCTATCTATCATCTATCTAACCCAGTCTATTCCTCATCTATTCATCTATATTCATCTATCTATCTATCTAACCAGTCTATTCCTATTCATCTATCTATCTATCTATCTATCTATCTATCTATCTATCTAACCCAGTCTATTCCTATCTATCTATCTATGTTGTGCTTAACACTTCTGTATCATCAGAAGATTTCACTATATAGAAAAAGATGAAGTGTTGATATCTATGTAATGGAATATTCTGATGACATAGTAAAAAATATAACATGTTTATTCTGGAAATACTGTGTTAAAGGTACTTTTAAATTGTGTTTGGATCTGTAGATAAATAAACTTATAAAGCAAGATTTGTTTAAATCTATTAGTTTCAACTGTTGATATCCCCTGATGAGTGAACAGAGTGACTGCTGGAGGTTCTGTCTACAAAACTCTAGAGTTGGAAAGCTGAAGATAACATCAATCATTTAAGTGACAAATATTATATTTGTAATAATCCTATATATAATATAAAATAATAATACAATAATATCAAAACCCGCTACTTAGTTTCATGCAATAAAAATCATTAGGCAAATAAAATATGAAACCAATACCTAAAAACATAGAATTGATATAATCTAGCAGTGGCAGGTATCTACTACCCTGGATGCATGTGCACTTTTTAAAGCTTTAGCTTCTATTCTTATTTTATATATATATATATATATATGTGTGTGTGTATATGTGTGTGTGTGTGTGTGTGTGTGTGTGTGTATGAAAAGATTACTTAACTTTTAAATATCAATTTTTATCCTGACATGGATGTCCATATTAACACACTGTTTTTAATATTTTTAATTTTGAGCACTATATATAAATATCTGCTGTTTCTTACACACACACTGCTCTGCTAGGATAAGAATGGTACACTTGTGTTTTCAGAGACAGTGGACAAGCATTCTTCAATCATTTCACCCCAAGCAAGGTGGGAATGCCACTAGTACACAGGGAATTACAGAGACTGAAAGTGAGAGAAAAGACTGGATATAGAGAAGTGAGAAAAGGATAAAAGATGAAGGAGGTTCAAGACAACAGAAGATGGTGATTGATTTTGCATTTAAATTTTTGAAGATTGTAGTTATCAGGGAAGTAAGAAAACATAAGGGAGAACCACTGTTGGGAAGTGCAAGAAAAGAAACTGTTAGAGTAGAAGTGGTAGTTACATTTAACTATTTCAACAGTAAAATGGTGGAAACTAGATGCCAATCTAGTAGCATGCTTAAATTAATGTACTTGGGGCACCAGGGAAAAAGCTCATCAGAGAATTTACCATGAAAATATTTGTAGAAAAGACAGAGGGAAGCCACATTATGTCTGTGACAAAGTGACTCAAGTCGAGATGCCTAATCAGGATCAATTACATTGTTGATTCTTCTTTATATTTTTCAAGAACCTTGAGATGAATAGCAGGAGATTAAACAAGAACAATAATTTCTTATGCAATTATCAATTTTCTTTCAAACTAGTAATTAAAAAAAATTACATCGTTGAATTAACCTTTTATGGTCATGTAATCATTTGATAAGGACTAAAGTTTTTAATACACAGATTACATGCAGATGTCCATATAAAAATCATTTTATGTATCTAAGATCTATGTCAATCTTAGACTGCTCTGTTTGTTTAAAATTAAGCATTTTTTAAATTTTGAATATTTTATTTACAAGGTGTAATTATGTTACATGTAGTGGTTTAACTGATATCTATATATATATATATAAAAATGTAAATATACAATGATTGTTATAATAACCAATGGGTTCATCAACTAAATATTGAAATGAACAATGACAAAGTTTTAGTGGCTGTCTATTATTCTAGTATAAGGACATTAATGTAGGAGTACTTAGTGTGGATTCAACTCATTGTAGTTGAAAAGAGTTGCAAGATAAGTTAAAGAAACCAATGCTTCATTCTGAGGTATCCTATGTATCCTAATGTTTCCCTTTATAATAAAAGAAGAATTTTTAAAAGCAGTTATAAATATATAAACAACATTTAAATAAAAACAAAAATAAATTAAACAATTTAGATCCATGTTGTACAACAGGACTTAGCATATTCCCTGCTCTTCCTTACTACTGTGACAATGAAATTCTCCTACTTATAAATATGACAAGTAGCTACATTAGAGTAGGATTTGAGTAGTATTTGGTTTACTCAAGTTTATCGGTTCTATGTGTGGGTATTTAATAAACTTCTTCTTTGTTTCTTCTATCTAGTTTTCTGTTCTTTTGATACTTGTTTAACTATGTCCTTCCTAATTCTCAGCTATTTTGAACAAAGCCAACATTAAAACAATCTGGTTTATGTTGAGTTAAACTTGCTGATACGTAAATAAATGATAGTCATGCTCTGAAACACCAATAAATTAATAAGTAAAGAATGGAAAAATCAGCTGTGTAAACTAAAGAATAAATAATAAATTGGTAAGCACCACTTTCAGTATAAGAGAAGCTAATAACTATCACAGACCAGTCAGTCTTTGAGAGTTCTTGGAATAGAAGAGGTCAACTGAGTAGGGTAGACGGAAAGGTCAAACTTGCTAGTAATTAACAAACAAAAAACAGGGAATAAGTGTTCAGAATAATACTAAGTATGTTTTCTACTGGAGAGGCTACCTTACCAAAATGGAGATGGACATTGTCTTAACTGTATGCCACTATTGCAATCACAGCCACTTTTGTCATTTCAACATCATTATTGCTTTTTAAACAGACTGTCTAAGAATGGTGCCTGCAGACTTGGATGTCTGTGGACAAGAAGGAGGTTGTAGTACAAGAGACTCAGCTGTGGGTAGACTAGATGCAATGGATTGACAAAGAGTTGAAAAAAAAAGTAAATCATCAGGGGAAAAAACAAATAAAACAAAAGAAGGAAAGATGGTTGTTTTATCCATGGTATTTAATTCCCATCTCTCAATTATTTTATCCAATTCATTCATTCATTCATTCATCCTTCCTTCCTTCCTTAGCTTGAATTTATAGTGTTCCATTTATTTCTTTTCAAGCTTTCTTTCAATCTCCCTCTTTTTATCCTTTTGACTTTTCATTCTTTTCCTCTTCTTTTCTTTCTCTTTTCTCCTCTTACTTTTTTCTTTTCTTCCATTTTCTCTTTTCTCCTTTTACTTTTTTCTTTTCTTCCATTTTCTCTTTTCTCCTCTTATTTTGCTTTTCTTCTTTCTTTCTTCCATTTTCTCTTTTCTTCTTTTACTTTTTATTTTCTTCTTTCTTTCTTACATTTTTCTCTTTTCTCCTCTTACTGTTCTTTTTTTCTCCTCTTTCTTCTTTCCTTTTTATTCTCTTTTCCTACTTCACTCTCTGATGTCCTCTACTTCTTTCAAGTTACTACAACATTTTTCTTTCTTTCTATGCAGATTAGACTAGACTTTATATATCCCTATTTTCTATTTTATTAAACAGAGAAATTTATAACAGTCAGTGTAGACTGAAAAGAAGAAAGATTGTTCATCTGACAGGAATTGAACCTGTATCCTCTTTTCCATCAGAGAAACTGCTACTATAGCCAAAACATGTCTTTACGTCTATAGTAATAAGTAACTAGAAATACTCATTTCTTAAATAGGTAATTAAAACCTTGTTCAATCAATCCAGCTTCCATGATTTAATTGGTAAAGGTACATTTTGGCTATAGAAGCATTTTATCTGATGATAAAGGAGATACATATACAATTTCTTTTGGTGACAAAATATTTCTTTAATAGGACATCTCAATCTAGACCAATTGTTATTAATTTCACTGTTTCAAAAATTTTTTAAAATCTGAGATAGTAACTTAAATACATGTACTCACTAAAAATAAAATTTATAAGAGGAAATATGTATGTATGTATATATTTAGAGCTCTTTTTATTTTTAATAGAAATGATTATTATTTTACTCTTGCTTCCATAAATATGCAAATATTTTCAAAATTAATTTAACATTTTCTTTATTTCACCCAGATGTATTATTAATCAATACTACAGGCAATGTATTTTTAAGCATTTTTTGATTGTGTGAGATAGTGTCATTAATTCTGCTAAATTTTTAAGTGATATTCTTTACTCTCTGTGGTGAAGGCAACCACAGTTGTCTCCCCCTTGAACTACTCTATTATAAAACGAATAGTCGAACCTCACATACGAGTAGTGGTCAAATTACATTGAATAAATTGTAAAACTAATACATCGTCTGCTTTTCTTTATACTTGAGAGAAATGTTCTGCTCAACAAAAAGACATGGAAAATGATCAAAGTCTTAAAGTTTTCAGTTTCCTCAAAGATATTTTTATTACAAAAGTAAACAATTTACAAAGTTTTTCCCTTGTGTTTTTCTTGTTAAACCTCTTGTACTTTTTATCGTTTAATTGTCTGGGATTTTTTCCCAGGTGTCTTGAAATAATATTGTAGCAAAATTGCACTTAAAAGTTCAAGGTTTTTTTTCTTATTATACAAAGTCAGTCCCAAACTATTACAAAAAGGAAAATACTGCCGTGAGATTTCAATAAAACAAAAAAACAACCAAGATGATTGTCCTATAAGAGATATGCATAATCCGATGATGAGATAAGAGAATCAAACCAGTAACCGCAAATGTTCAACTTTTAGGAAATGTTTTTACCTCACACAGATTTAACATTGGATTGGAAAATACTGTATCATTAAATATGAAAAATAAGGTTTTAACTTTTGTCAGATAACAGCATTTCTCCTTATGTATCAAAGAATTTCATTAACTCGGTATTTTAGGTGGAACTCTGTTCTTTTGGACTTCAACTGCAACTCTTACAATGAGTAAAATCTTCAATATTTTTTTTTAATATACCTCCTGTCTGTAATGATGATAGCAGTTAATTTTGTCAAGGAAGGTATTATAGAAAGGCTGGATTACTCATGTATTTAATTAGCCTATATATTTGCATTATCCATAAACACAGATGATGTTGACTGATGATAAGTCCCAGTTCAATAAAATCAAATGAATGACAGTCATAAAATTATCAGTCTTTCTTTCTTTCTGTGTTTATTTAGTAAAACACCTGTTTTGTTTTTTCTTTTATTTTTTAATGCTATACCCCTTCAGTATGTAGGATTGCCACAGACTGATTGCCATGATTTCTTGGAATGACAGCAGAGTAGTTTTCTATTGCCTTCTCCATGATTTCGAATTTAGTGTAATCATTCTTCTCAACTGGCTGTTATGAAAGTTTCAAGAGCCCGGTCCTCTATGCTTTGTGTAAAACTGAGTGCAACAGACAAGAGTGGAATTGTATGTCAGGCCTTATGAATAATAGAAAAATGTTTAATATTGAAGTGAACAAAAAAAGAACAGAAGTTTATGTAATGTTTTCATAATTTTTAAAAATTTTTTTATTACTGTTTTTGGGATACAATGTTCTAGGTGGGGGAATGAATAAGTTGAACTGAGTGAGACATTTAAAGATGGGCAAACTTGGACCTTTATACCCACAAAAAATGGAGTCTCAAAGGGATAGTTTTTACCTTGACACTACTATTATTTTAAATACCTTCACTCTTTGGCAGTGTTTATTGTTTTAAAAAGCAATTTTTAAAATTGTAATAAAACCTAAACATACAATGAAAGTGAATATATACATTTTTTTTGTTATAGAGAATTTACAACAAAAATATTAAACACTGAGAGCACCATGGCTGAAATGTTGGGACAATAATAACAAAGATTTGGACAATAGTCCGCATGTAAATAATATAAATTCTGACCATTGTACTTTCTAAAGTCTATCCAGAATTTCCATCTGAACTCTTAATTTAATCTACAGGGTAGACTGTTTTCATGTTCTCTGGTGGATTAGAGCATTGGTTCATGAATTTGGTGGTAGAGTAATTTTGAGTTCAATCCCTGGGTTGGGTAGCACAGACTAAATAAGAACAAGACAAGATATCCCAAGACAGACTGCGAGTGAAATAGGTAGAAAGAGAGATATAAGCTAAGCTAGGCGGACATATAGGAAGAAACAGAAACAGACATAAATTAATCAAACTAGGGAGATAGACTTACATTGCAAGAAGAAAGGAATTATCTAAGGTCATGGATTAATGCAAGCATTACTAACAAAGTGAATAGGGCTTATAGGTGTATACAGTGGTCTGACCATTAATCATGGTATCAGTTACACAGCTGTAACTGTAGAAATAAACAATTTGACTTAATAGTAGTGCCACAGTACAAGAGTAGCAGGCATTTTGCATGTGTCAAAGAGAAACTGGAAAATGTTTCCTTTAGGCGAAAAGGTCAAAGTTCTTCACTTAATAAGGTAAAAAAAAAGTATATGTTAAAGATGCTAAGGTCTATTGTAAGAATGTATCTGCTGTCACATCTCTTTTATTACAATATATTTTTGTCATTGTTTTATTTTATCACTGGAGGAACAAATAATGGAACTGTTATCAGTGCAGAAAGTGAATTCGGCATGCCAAGTTCAATTACCACTCAATTCTGTTTAATCTCCTTCATATTAATGCCCTTGGAAAAGGCATGGAACCATCTTCCTCCAGCTAGCAAAATAAATAGCAAGTTAGACTGAGATCTCTTGCTTTGAGGTGGCAACCAGTCAAGGAGAATGAAAAACTGAATTTAAGATCAGCCTGCAGAGGGATAGGATCTGTCAAATTATTTTGCCTTAGACAAACCACTGCTCCCATGTCTGCAGTACATGTGTGTTCCTACAACCCTAATGGGTCATGTGACTTGTGATGTGGCAATTTTATTCTTACTGATGTTAATCTCTTATTGTATCTAATTTAAAAATTAAACTTTGTTAAAGGTATGTATGTATAGGAATAAAAATAGTATGTATAGGATTTATTTATATCTGCTATTTCAGGCAATCTGCAAAGGATATCCAAGTATATCCCTATAAATAAGGGAGTATTACTGTAATGTAAATGCATTACTGAAGGTTTACTCAAGAAATATATAATCTAAGAGACTGAAAAGATGCATTGTAAATGAAAGAAAAAACACTTTCATTAGTCAGGAACTAAGTCAAGCATTACTCATAGAAGAGGGCCATTATATGTGTAATGTAAATGCATTGCTAATGATTTTATTGTAGAAATGAACTAAAAACAATAGAGATTGTTAGTGGCCAGGAATTAAGTCAAGTATTACTGATAGAAGAAGGCTATTATAATATATGCTTAATGTAAATGTATTGCTAATGTTTTTGTTGTAAAAGTGAACTGAAAAATAATCACTTTTTATATTTTATCAGATTTAGCCAAATTTCTGTATTGGTGCAGAACCACATAGGATATTTTAAAGAAAGTACTTAAATTGACAAAGAAACATAATAATACCTTGACAGTTATAGGTTGGTTATTGCCAAGATTATAGAGTCACTGTAAACTTTATGATCTTGTCAATGGCTGTATAGTATATGCTATATCAGGGCTACATGAGGCATTGAATTCAGAGTCGTCTTTCTCCTAGAAGGTTGTCAACCAAAGCTAAAGAACCCAGTCTGCTCATTACTTGTTTGGCTTTGTATACTCTTCATTCCATATGTGGATGTGCTAGTGGTGGAATGGCTAGTGGCTTGGACTTCTGCCCAATACTGAGATGAATAAAAAATAACATTTTCTACCATTCAGTGCTTAAAAGAAATTTTGAGAAATTTGAGAAATTTAAAAAAAAATAAACCTTTTCAAAAAATTCTAAAAAGTTTTCCACGAGACATTAATTAAAGTACCATTGAATAAAAGTCACAGATCTTCCAATAACTAATCAATTAATTAAATTTAATAACTATAACTTAATTTATTATTAATCTAGGGGATTTTATCTATATGACTGAATTTGCTTGGATGGTTAAACCTCCTGTTATTTATTCTACAGAAGCAATTAGCTGCCTATATAACAATGATCCTAGCAAATGGAATGAAAATCTTATTGGCAGATAAAGAGTATTATAATCTAGGGTAAACTTAATTTGATGGTCTCCGCTATACAAGCTTTGTATTGAGCTGGTTAGCAACGGTTATTGATTGATTGATTCTTCAGTTTATCAACCCTCTGCAGGTTATTTAAAGCCAGAAAATATTTTTAGATTGTAAGAATTTAAAAAGAAAAACAATTGTGTACAAAATATTTAGATTTCAGCTTTTCACCTATAGTTTTGATATGTCGCTAAACAAAAACAACTAACCAACCAACTTAGGGAATAAGAGTGTGTATTTGTATGTGCATAAAATGATGCAATTAGGAGTGGCTATTAAAATTACTTGACTTGACACATTTCCCAAAATCTGACCAAATGATCCAAAATTCTAATATTTGCAT